TGGAGAAATGTGTCAAATCGATTGAGAACAACTGTAACACAATCAACCGATCCTTTAAAATATCTGAAAAAAAAGGTTTTACACAATAAGATCAATAATTCAGGATAATTCATGTATACAGCATACATGTGTGTGTGTGTGTGTGTGTGTGTGTGTGTATCCACAGCAGTGATGTAAAAGACTGATCTGTAGTTATCAGAAAAGTTTGTTTGCAGTTCTTGCTGATAAAGGTGGCACAAACAGATTTTAAGTTTAAAGAGCCAATTAGTTTTTTCTCATGGGTGAGAGCAGGTGTTGGATAACAATTTTCATTTCATTTAGATATACACAATATATATAAAACAGAACTCCCTGTTGAAGAATTGCAATAAACATGTATTTTCATTAGCATATTTGTGCATCTACAGCTGAATGTGTTTTTTTATAATAACAAAAAACACACCTATAGATTTGATGTTACTGTAAAATCTACTTTTGTTACAGCTGATTCTTAATTCACTCCAGCATGGTTTTATTATCATTATAAGTCCTAATTTACATATAATGATGTTTGAAACTAAGAATGCTGGTAAGTAAACAGTTGATGGCCCTTATTACTTCTGGGGGGGGGGGGGCATTTGAAAACCAAGCAGTTGAAAACCATCAACTGCTTGGTTTCCAACATTCTTCAAAATATCTTCTTCTGTGTTCAGCAGAAGAAAGAAATTCATACAGGTTTGGAACAACTTTGGGGAATAATAAATAATGACAGATTTTTCATTTTGGGTGAACTATACCTTTACTAGCTAAACATGCTATTGCTGTGCTGCTGGACAGAAGGAAGAGGTTGTTACTGAGAAATGATTGACTGAAATCAGTGAAGATGATGTCTGTGTGAAATGGTCAGCCTTCATATCCGGTTGTATGCGAAGGAAGTTGTAAGATGTCCAAAGTAATTGTCTGGAATCTGGTGCAAAGGTCAGCGTCTCTGTACACAAGCAGCTTGTAAATTCTTGTGTTATTGATGTGAGACATTTTAAACATTGACACAGAAATCTTGTAACAGATGTTCTCTGGTGGGTGGAAGAGAGGAAGATATATGAGCTATATATGTGATCTTTAACATCAAAGCAGTGCATGTTCACACTAATTATCATAAGACTCTATTTTTGTCCAAGGGCTTGTGTTGTGGAATTTGAACCACAATGCCCTGTGCAGTCTGTCCCCTCGTGGTACATTTAAGAATTATTACAGGCAAACATGCCATACCTCATGGCCCGTGAATGAACTATTATTAAAAAGCTTATTTGGCTGCATTGCTGGGAATCTCGCTGTACTCAGATAAGGCATTAGATAAATAAAGACTGAGAGCTGATGACTGAAGTGAAGTTCTAACCTACATCACGACAGAGTTATTAATCAGAGCATTACTGAGTCTCTAAACAGGCCGTAAACTGTGCAGTTCAATCCAAACATTTTCCTTTCGAGCCAAATATCTGCTGGCCCAGTCAAGTGAGAGGAAAGGAACTATGACCCACTGTGATGTAAAAACCTTGTGGAATTGGGGTGTATTGTTCTTTCTTCTTCTTCTGATTATTATTAATTGTTTTACTTCAAGCTTAAATTTCAATATCATGATATATATATATATATATATATATATATATATATATATATATATGATATCACATTATTAAATTTAAGGTAACACATACTGCAATTAAATGTATATGAATTTGCATAATATTTATCTAGAAATTTTAAACAATCCTAAATTAAATATAAAATAAAAATAATTAGAAAATAAATCTATCTGAACAAATGATTTGAATTTTATAAAAACAATCTTGCAAAATAACCAGATGTACTTTAGATATCAACTTCTTGATTGTGTAATCCTTGATAATCCAATGATTATGTCTTGGTGAGCAAGTACAACTACTTATATTATTATTGTTATACTATTACTATTATTTTATACTATTACTATTAGAATAATAGTGTATTATCCATTTGTATAATATAATTAGAATAAAATTATATTATTATTATTACTATTTTTATTATTATCAGAATATTAGTGTAATATTTTAAATTTTTTGTATTCCTCGAGTTTAAATTCCAATAGTATCATATATTTTGAGTGAACAAAAGAACAGTAATCTATCCATTTGTGAATTCATTTATTTTATTATATTTATTGTTAATTATTATTTATGACTATTAGAATATTAGTATAATATTACAATTTTCTAAATATTTCAATTTTAAATTCCAATATCATAATATATATTGGGTGAACAAGGGAACACAATAATCTATCCATTTGTGCATTTATTATTCTATCTTATTCCATTCTATTCTATTTATTGGTAAATAATAATAATAATAATAATAGCAAATTATTATTATCATTATTATTATTATTATGTTTTGATTAAGAACACTTATTATTTGTTTGTTATTTGCTTATTATTATCTTATTTTTAACTCTTATTAAATGAATGCATTATAGATGTGAGAGCTGATTTATATCCAGGAAACTCTAATATAATGTTTCCTGGCCCTGGTCCGGAAAGTATCCATCCTCTTCCTCTGAGCCACAGCCCATCAGACCAGCACAAACCACGTAAACTTGAAGAAACTGAAAAATGGGAGATCTTAACATCTTGAAAGCAGTTGTTGAACACAATGTCAGATGTTAACTGACAGTGTTCTCTATATAAAGGCAGTCACAGCTGCGGGTGGTCTGACTGTGAGCTGATGTGAAAGATTTTAGTGTCTCATCTGATTACAATAATGCAGCCCTAAAGAGCCATTACTATTACATAATATAAACTCATGATCACAAACACATCAAGAAATGTTGCAATCAGAGGTGGCAGAATAGGCTGCTATACTCAGCTGGAAGCATTCAGACAAATATTTATAATAAATGAGTCTAAATCATATTTAATGTCTGTCTGCCAGTTTACAAGACACTCAAGTGGGCAAGTTAAGCGTACAAGTGCAGCACTTCCACCGGAGCACCACAGACAAAACAACTGAGGACCATTTCCATGAGACAACAAACATGAGAATTTCCCATAGAGTGTAAGAGAACTTTAAATGAATACATTCATCGGAAAGATTCCAAGCAGCATGTTGTTTATATTTGGTTCTGAATTCAGGAAATGCCGTTCAAATTCACATCATGGGAATGGGATATCAGTTTAAGTTTAGTCGCATTAATTAGGCGTCATAATTATACTAGACGTCATCTTCTTGAATAAATGGTTTTAAAGTGGTATTTAACATTTTTAAAATGTGTGGGAACCAGTGTTGGGGGTAATATATTACAAGTAACGCAAGTTACGTAATCAGATTACTTTTTTCAAGTAGCTAGTAAAGTAACGCATTACTTTTTAATTTACAAGAGAATATCTGAGTTACTTTTTCAAATAAGTAACGCAAGTTACTTATTTTTTTCAATTTATTGACTGACAGCTCTCCTGTCCCCATGTTGAGAGAAATCAGAAGATGTTAATGTAGTATTAAAATAAATATAAATATGCATTAATTCATCTCACTCACAAAAAAAACCCCCCACACAGATTCAGTATTCCTCAAAATGAATAAAAATAATGCAACTCAGAATATAACGCAAACCTGCAATAATTAAATGTTAAATAACACAAATATGCTTTATGTATTTAATCCCATTCTATTAAACAATGTCTTTGCTTCTGACCTTCGATGATCCAGTTCAAGCGTACTAATAAGCACAAATGACTCTAGACAAACATTTGTGTCTTTTTTTATTGCTGAAGTGTGTTGAAATTTCTTCTTCTGCATTCTACTGTACGAACGTAAATTAACTTTCCCTTCAGCCTGAGGCTTATTCATTTCACTTTTGGTGTGAAAAGGCTTTTATATTTGCCAAAAATATAACTTTTTTTATTTTAAAAACAAACAAGCAAGCCCTGTCCAGATTTAAAAAGTAGCGCAAAAGTAACGCAACGCATTACTTTCCATAAAAAAGTAACTAAGTAACATAATTAGTTACTTTTTTTATGGAGTAACGCAATATTGTAATGCATTACCTTTAAAAGCAACTTTCCCCAACACTGGTGGGAACCATTTTATATCTTAAAGATATGAATAGCGGAAACCATTTTTGAGTGAAAAGTCTAATTGCACAAATGGGTTTAGGTCGAGGCAAGTTGTTATTATGTACTGGGTTAAATGTAAACATTTTATTAGTTATACTATTTTTTTTGAATTGATATTTTATTATGTAGATTGATAACTTTTTGTGTGTTTCATAAGTGTTTACTGTTTAAATTTTACTATTAAGAAAAAAACGATTAAAGCTCCATTGTGACAACTTGTGACACCGGGACAAGACCACAGGAATCAGATGAGTCCTCTGCACAATGTGACTTTGCTGCAGCCTGAAATTGAACTGCTGGTTTTGTGTGGTCAGAGGAGAACTGGCCCCCCGACTGAGCCATTCTGTCACCGATGGAGTTTTGGTTCCTTGCCGCTGTCGCCTCTGGCTTGCTTAGTTGGGGACACTTCATTTCCAGCGATATTGTTGACTTGATTGCAAAGATACTATTTAAACTGAGCTGGATGTTGACATCACTGAATTGAATGATGAACTGTCTTTAACTGAAAAATTAGTGTTTACTATTATCATTTTGCATTATTGACACACTATTTTCCTAATTAATGCTGTTCAGTTGCTTTGACACAATCTGTATCGTTAAAAGCGCTATATAAATAAAGGTGACTTGACAACTTACCCCATATTGTGTGACAACATGCCCCACTACTGGAGTGTGCTGAAAATTAACTGTATTTTTTATAAGGCAGTAACATTGAAATGATTAATAAAAATTATACATAAGTGATCATCTAAATAATAATCTAAAAAAAAAAAAAACGTCCTGATTAGTTTCCTTCCCTTTTAAAAGATGACGGTAGATGTCGCTGTTTCTAAACGCCTGAGTAAAAGTGTGCTATAAAGTTTGTCCTTTATGTCTTTCCGTAGCAGCTGTACTTGTAATGATCATTTGGCATCACAAATACAGCACTTCTTCCAGGTTTAGTTTATACAGTAGTTGAAATGATAAAAGTGCGTTCGCTTTTGACGAACATGAGGCTACTGAGATTTTGAGCCTCGGTTGTTAAAGTGACTGCTAGAGTTTAGTTTGGGAACTGATGGCATGGCTGTGTGTTGTGGGGAGTGCTGTAGTGTTATTAACTGTGCTCGTTTTACGATTGTTTGGGGTTTTGCGACATGGATCTGAATATAAACCAGGACAGAAGGGCTCAGTGTCAGTCCTGGTGGTGGCAGGATCAGGTAAGAATCGAGCTCTTGCATTTCTGTTTTCAAATTCTTGAATCTTAAACAAACCATAATGTGATTAGACACGTTTTATGTCCATACATGTGAATATACTAAATGTAAACCCCTCTTTAACATCTTCAGACAAGAACTGAAGTTGTATTTAAATACCGTTTCAGCGTCTGTTAACAAGAAAGCTATAAAAACATCTAGAATTTGTGCCATGTTTAAGATGTTTCCCCTAATATACTTGTATTTCTATTTGTGTGCCTTTTTTCTTCTGTCCTTTTCTTAAGAGTTTTCCTATGATATCGTTTTTTCTGTGATGTTTTATCTGTTAATCCTCAAGTAGTTTATTATTGATTGGTGTTTTGTATGTACTGTACTGTAATCCTTGTTGTTTACTGCAATAACAAAAAAAATGTTTTTAGTCATTTAAAATATATTCTTGTTTATTTAATATAATAATAACAATAATAATTTAAACCGCTTATAAATACATATTTCATTGATTTGTTTTAATTGATTAGTCATTTAAAATATATTCTTGTTTATTTAATATAATAATCATCATTTAAACCACTTATAAATACATATTTCATTGATTTGTTTTAATTGATTAGTCATTTAAAATATATTCTTGTTTATTTTATATAATAATAATCATTTAAACCACTTATAAATACATATTTCATTGATTTGTTTTAATTGATTAGTCATTTAAAATATATTCTTGTTTATTTAATATAATAATCATCATTTAAACCACTTATAAATACATATTTCATTGATTTGTTTTAATTGATTAGTCATTTAAAATATATTCTTGTTTTTTTAATATAATAATAATAATTTAAACCGCTTCTAAATACATATTTCATTGTTTTTTTATTTATTAGTCATTTAAAATATTCTTGTTTGTATATACGTTTTTTGTTATTGTTTAGTCTTGTCTTAGTTTAGTTTAATGCTTTGATAAAAGTTGATTAAAAAGGTCATATCCATTTTATTTGCCAACAAGCAATTTTTTAATTAATAGTAATTAAAATAATATTAAATAAATGTATTATAATTTAAATATTGCTAGTTGGTAATAATAATAGTTATTATTATTATTATTATTATTATTATTATTACTGACTTTAAATGTTTCTTTTGTGTTTCACCTAGGAGGACACACAACAGAAATCGTCCGTCTGATGGGGAGTTTATCTCGGTCTTATAACCCTCGACACTATGTGATCGCAGACACCGATAAAATGAGCGAAGACAAGATCCGAACATTTGAAGCAGAGCGGGAGAAAAGCGTTTTACCCTCACAGGTTGATTGGTCTATGCTAAATATATATGTACACCACTGAGGGATTTATTCACCCTAAAATGACCATTCTGTCCTCATTCCAAACCCACATGATTTCCTTTCTTCTGTCAAACTAAATGTGAGAAAGTTTGATTTGTGTTGTGTCATACTTTGACCAGCAGATGGCAGATTTCTTTGAGCATTTTCAAACGACTGTGGATTTGAAATGATAGATAGATAAATAGATGTCAACTCAGTCATATACCCTCAATCAATCAGGTGTACACAGTGTTGCCAACTTAGCAATTTTGTTGGTAAATTTAGCAACTTTTCAGACTACCCTAGCAACTTTTTCTTCCAAAAGCACCTAGCAACAAATTTAGCACTTTTGATAAATGACTCAAACAGTAAAAAGGCACACATTTTCCATCTGAATTTCACAAAAAGAGGAAACCAAAGCTGCCTAGAAGTACATACATCACATGAATTAAGTTATTGCTGTTTGCAGTTGTTCAACTTGATAATAACAATAATAATTTAATAATTGTTCATTTATGATACACCTTGTTAGTAGCTTGTACATGCGATTGTTGATCAGTTAGTAGGAAACCAAAGATGCCTAGAAGTACATACATCACATGAATTAAGTTATTGCTGTTTGCAGTTGTTCAACTTGATAATAACAATAATAATTTAATAATTGTTCATTTATGATACACCTTGTTAGTAGCTTGTACATGCGATTGTTGATCAGTTAGTGCACTATAAGAAAAATATCTAGAAAAATGGCAAAGGTACTAATAATTTTCCAGGACATTATCCGTTATCAATTATCCATTGTAACCCGAAAACACAAAATACAATGCGTAATTTAAAATGCAGGTAAAAACCTGTGATTTATTTTCTTAGAGTGTAGCATACTGACTACTAATACACTGCTTAAAACTATAATTGTTCAGAATGTGTCGTTTTACTAGTTTAGTAGCTAATAAAAAAACTTGTAATCGTTCAAAAATGTAATCGTTCAAATGTTGTATATAAAAATAGTTATTTATATTTTAACATTATATTATGCATTTATATGATTTTACGAACAAATCTAAATGAACGTATAACATATGATTTGATGTAGTGACACAATTTTGCATCGTGATTACGTAATGACGTCACAACATCATTTAGCAACTTTTAGCAACAAATTGACCTTCCTTTAGCAACTAACAAATCGACCTTCCTTTAGCAACTTCCCCTGAAAATTAGTTGGCAACACTGGGTGTACAGTATAACGTTCTTCTGCTTATATTCTCACTAAAATCCCCCCTGCTATGTTTTCCTCTCTTTTCTAATCACAGTTCACCATTCACCGGATTCCTCGCAGCCGGGAGGTGCGTCAGTCGTGGAGTTCCTCCGTTTTGAGTTCTCTCAGCGCTCTGATGTCTTCCGTCCCGCTAGTCTTTAGGCTTCAGCCGGATATGGTGGGTTCTCTCTCCTCTCATTCATCCCACCATCATATCCTATTAAGTATCAATTTCCTCTCTTCTGCAGGACGTTTGTGTAACTCGCAACCCCCCCCCTCCCCCCCCCCCCCGCCACCCCCCAGCCACCCCTCCACTCC